GATTTAGGTGATGGAAACTTCATGAAAGTCTCTTTGTGCTGTAAAAATTAAGAGCAGACGTGAATTATTACAACTGCTCAACATAACTTAATAGGGTGGAAACTTGCTAAACTGCTGTAATTTGGTTGCTCTGGAGTTCTGTGTCCATACCACAGATTTCTTCATGTCTCATACCATGGATTTCTTCATTCCCCAGTGTATAGCATAGCCTGCTGCAGACTGCATGAGAAATGGGACTAGTATGCTTAGCTGTGAGTTGGATCCACTATAATAAGATTATCCCAGAGCTACACAGACCTCAGCAAGCAGCTATTTTAAACATGGAATAGCAGAGAACAAGAGCAAACAGCCACAAAATATGTCCAGCTGTCGCCCTTTCTAGAATTCCATGGTGGAAAGTGTTGCTGTGGTGTGCATACTGTGAGCCTCAGGTAGGACATCTCCCTTTCTTATCCCTTCATGCTCTTCTTTCTCTTCTTTTTGGAAATTTTAATAGTTTAATGAATACTTCAGGGTACAACTGTAAGTTTTAGTCCTAAACTTGGCTTGCAGAGAATAAACCATAAGGCTACTGGCAAGAGGCAGGGAGTTATTTCCAACATAATAGTTTGCACAGGAAAACCATACCACCTGGTATGTGTTTGCTGCATTTTAATAGTTTCCAGTGGTTTAATGAGATATATTCAAATCAAACCACTAAGCCAAAGTTCATACAGCATTTAACAAAACATATTCAGCATAATGCACAGCACTTTTTCTATATTTCAAAAACTCTTTCGTTCTTAACTCAAATGCTACCAATGCACCACTGGATATGTGCCAATGCACCACTGGATATGTGCCAATGCCCTGCTCTTGGTTAGGACTCTTATGACACTCTCAAGCATTTAATCAGTTGCTTGTAGAGGAAATAAATCCTCTACCTCTTTATTGTACCCCTGGGCTATAAACATTGTCAAAGATAAGGTGAGGGGATTCGAGAAGAGTCCACAGTTTTCTATTCTTCATGCTGATAGTTGAGTTTATTTTTATTTTGTGAATGCAGTCTTATGCCTTACATAGGGCCCCTTTACATTCTAGTGCCTTCAGCATCAAACCTAAACCCACAATCAGAAAGAATAAATGTCTGCTTCCAGGTGCAAAACTATCTACTTCAAAAACTCACAAATGGTCCTGCAAGGAAAATTATTACTGCCTCTTTCTTTATTTAATAAATGTTAATATCTTAAAAGAGTTTTCCATTAAAGTGAAATTTTGTTACATGCCAAAAGCTAGGATATAATCTTTAATTCTGTCTAACACTTTGAAATTGAGTACTTTCCCCTGTTATACTGGTGTACTGTTATTTATTTTTCTGTGATGGGATATTATGATCATGCATATTAAAAATCTTTCCAGAGGGCGATGTTAATGACTTACAAGTGCTTATCTGGTCAATGTACTCACCTGCAGCCAACAATCCAAATACAAAGTGATTATTTTGAAAAGCAATCAAAAATAAGTTAAGAACTTCTTGGATGCATTGCGAAAGAAGATAAAAATATCCTTAATTATTTTAAGGATTTTAACCACAAATCAGTGAGGAACCTTGGAATAAACTTCTTTTCTCAACATCTCAGATGTAGCAAAATTAAAAGTCATAGGTATGAAGTTCTAGATTCTTTAGACTTAAATTTGTGTACTGTTAATTGGACATGAGAGCTGGTTCCTACAGAATTTACTTGCAAAGGATTTCAAAATAAATGAAATATTGCACTGACAAAGCCTCAGTGAAGTAACATTATTGTGTAGCTCTTTCCACTTCTCCTTCCTTTTTGCCTTCCTTCTGGATTGGAATACATAAGAAAAAGATTATAGTAAAGAAAAAAGATTTTCTAAAATTAAAGTGTATAGAACTTCATAATCTTCTGCAGTGATCCTCATACTGACTTGAAAGGAACAGAACAGACTCTTCACACTATTAGTGCACTGATTTGGGACTTTGGTGGTCATCACAAGACATCACTTCTATGAACAGCTTTGATGTTGGCAGGAAGTGCCACAAGCATCTAAAACAGAATTTGCTGAAAGTATTTAAAAATAATTAGGGTTATTTTGATTTAATGACAGTTTGACCAAACACAGCGGTCAAGGTTGTAGGCTTTATAATCATGGTCATAAAGGATATTTTAGCTATGATACCAGTAGTGCTTATTGTTCTTATTTTCCCATTTAGCCAGCCAGATACTTTTAAATTGAGCTTTCTTACACTGACTTTTTAAAGCATTTGAATAGTCTTGTGCAATAAAAATGCAATAAGGAAAGATCAGAGGTTTCTGCATGTGTCTGTCTGTCTGAGCCACCAGGGGGGACTCATTCCTCATCTATAACTTTTCTGCAGCAAGTATCTGAAAAAAACACCCATGCCTGAACCAGGTCTAGAAAGTCAATTCAGCAGAGAGTTTGTCTTCTTGCATATTAAGAGAGCTTTCTGTAAAATCTTGTCAATCTGCATTGCTCTTTCCACTCTGCCCATGAGTGCATCAGCCACCCAACGCATTGAGCAGCAACGCCAGACCAAGTCTGGCCACAGAGGGACCCGTGTTCAGCTGGGAAATCTTGTATATCACTGGGATACGGTCCATGCCACCCCCTGCCCACCTCAGACTGACCTGGGACTTGTGCTAAACCTGTTGGACTGACAGAAGACTCAGCAGAGAGCCTGGCTTGGCTTCTCAGAGGTTAAACTCCTTCACACCACTGGTCATGGCTTTGTGGCTGAAAGGAATATTTTTTTGGCTGTATGTGCAAAAGGTAGCTCTTCTTTCATAGCTGTTTCGCAGCTCCTTTGTGACTGTCTCACTACTGCATTTCTTTTTTCCAACTATTACAGCCTTCCTGATTTATTTCAATTTAACTGTGTGTCTTACTATTTTTAAGCAAAATTTGTCCATCTTGAAACAGAACTGTGTTATTGCTATGATCACAAAGATGTTTTATAGCATCCTGTTAAACAACAGCAAAAATCTGTGTGTGATGTATGTACTCTGGAGATCTGTCAGGAAAGTTACATAATTTTGAATTCCCAATTAAAAGCCAATACTGAAAATTTAATAAAATTTTGAACTCTGTCAGGCCAGTGGGACTCTTCTTGTGGTCTATAGAAAGATTTGGAAATACTGAAGGGAGTTCTCTAGCTGCATTAAATTTTCAAATTTTTGTCTTATTTTGTAAATTATTTCATGTAGTAGTTAATTATTTGGTACTTTCAGGCACCTTTAATTAAATTTTCCCTTTCCTTAATTAATTTAGGAATTACCCCCATCTCTGGGCACAATCAGTCATGGTTTTTGTGCACATCATAACATCAGATGGTTGCATTCAGCTCCATTTGAAATACATCATGTAATTGCATTCCTTCAGATGTCTGGTGTATTCTTAAAGCATGGTGAGCTTTGTAAGAGGCTCACATGAAAACCAGTGAGAGATACTGGCTACCATAAAAATAAAAGAATGGACTTGGTTTTCATCAGTTGTGAATTTTTCTCTTCTCTAATATGTGCAGGAAAGTCTGTGTTTGAAATTATGCCTTTAAAAATCTTACCCCTGATGACTCAACTAAACTTGCTCATTACGTGCTTCTGGTAGTCATAATGTCATTTCACTTCCCCATTTCACACGATTTTCTCTTTAATTTTCCACTCTTGGTTTCACTTGCATTGTCTGAGGAAAATGTAACAACAAAAGCAGGAATTCTTTTTCTTAACAAAATTTAGTGTGAAGATAACTGACAGTGCTGCAGTAGAATTAACCAAGATTGCAGAGAATTTGATAAATAGCAGAACTTACTTTCCCTGAAGACATGTGACTGATGATGACTGTGCTGAATTTTCTTCCTCTTTCTCCCAAATGAAGTTTTGTACCATCGGATACTGAGCAAAAAAAGTAACTATGTTTGGACTCCTTTTTTTCATTTTATTTACCCCTGGAGTCAGTGAATTAATTTGTACATCATCAGATCTTGAAATGTCGTATACTTTTTGTGGTAAGTAAAAAAATAGGTAATCCTTTTGTTAAATTTCTGGAATAATTACTGTAGTCTGAGTGTGGATTTTCTTTTGAATTTGTTTCTTTTCTTTCTATGTTTCTTTGAGAAATACAGAAAAAGAAGTATATTTCTGTTATTAATCACTCTGTTATAAGAATTTTACTTCATAGGCATAAATCTTACCACAAGGCTGGTTCCAGCAGCTAGGAGAGAGAGAATTTTATTCTCAAGTAAAGTAGGCATGTTTTTGTTCAGGAAATATTAGAAGATAATGGATTTAAACTAGTTTTGCAAGTGCTCTGTTGTATAAATTATACCTATTGAGTTAACCAGTATGTTACAATGAAAAGCTTGAAGTATGTGAAAAAAAAGAGGGAATGTTGTATTCTGTCAGGCTGCAGTACCAATCAGGTTCTGAGACAGCATGATGTGTCCCTCCTTGCCCTGTCTGTGTCATGGGCTGATATTTTGTGTATTTTAAAAATGCAAGGTGGGTCAGTCACAGAGCAAATCTACTCAAAGGTTCATTTGCATTACCTGGAAAATATGCTGATGCATTAAAAATATTTTTAGCTCTTGTCAGCATGATTAGCATGAGTAGGGATATTTTCAGTAGAAGACCATGCTGGTTTAGTGCTAATAAAAAGTTTTTATATCTTCAAAAGAGAACTAAAGGTACTTTTGTCTCTGTTTTTTGTGTGCAAAATATCACCAACCAAAAATTTACTTCTCTTTACTTAAAGAAATATGATACTGGTTTTGCCCTTTAAATGTAAAAATAATTAATAATATAATTTTAAGAACATTTAATATTTACCACATATATTCTATTGAGCAATTTTATAGCATATAACACAAATACATTTAAAAATATATTTGTGGTTTTTGTGTGTATAACTGTATATTCTAATTATTTTTAAGGAGAAACTTATTCACACTATCAATGTGAAATGATTTTTTTTTTTTCCTGTAGATTCTACAGCTCATTCTTTCATGTTTAATCTGACACCTTGCAGCACAAAGAACAAACCTGTCTGGAAGGCTAATCTTACCTGGATTCCAAGTGAGTGTCTCTTAACTAGACAATTATATTCTGGAAATGCTGAAAATGAAATACAACTGAAAAATTGACGCCTCATCCTAAATGCCATGTGACTTAGGAAATTGGTTTCTGGGGTTAAAAATGGAACAGATAAACTATAGCGATGGACAGAAGTGATGATTTGTGAAATGTGTTTGAGTTTTACTTGGAGCAGTTACCAGAGCCCTGCACGCAGGACTGTCACTGTAAATGCAAATCTGTTACAGTTTAGGTGTATGTGCATTTTGGTCTTCTGGCCTGGACAAGATCCAAGTCTTTTAAAGGAGAGAGAGTATCATCAGGCTGTCCCACTATGGCAGGGCTTCTCTGAAGAATATGCATGTTCCAGAAGCTGGAAATGGTACTGCATTTTGTGTGCAAACCTAACTGTGGTCTTTAAACCCAGCTTTAAGCCAGCATGCTCAGCTAATGAAATGTTTAGGACCTGGCTGTATCATAAACTTCCCCTTCTGCTTTAGGTTTACTTCCCTTGAAAGACATTTTTATGATGCACTCATGATAGTTCCTTTGCAACACCTGCTTAAAACTAAGGTCTCCATTTGAGCACCTGTTTAGGGTAGCTGTGAAGCTGAATGAACTCTGTTTCCTTTACTAAAGAAATTAAAACACATTTTGAAATTTTTCTCCCAAATATTTTTTAAGACTAATTTTTTTTTTTTTGTTAAAAACAACAATAGGTTTTTTCCTTTTTTTCTGGAAGTAGCAGTTTGAAAGATATATACCTTTTTAATTTTGGGGGAGTCTTACAAAAATACAGTATTTTGGCTAAATCTAGTTTTTATCTAAACATCATGTCTCCATATTCGCTTTTCCTCCCCACCAGTTACCATTTTCTTACTTGCAATGTTTTAATTAGGAAGTGACATCCACTTTTTGAAGATTGTCTTCAATGTCTGGTATGATGGTGCCAAAGCACTCCTCTGGAAAGAACTCCTCTGCAGCGGAGCTGACGATGAATACTCACTGTGCGGAACGCTGAAAGGAGGTTGGTGTGAAAATACATGGTGCAAGCAACCCATGCAAACAGAGTTTTATCTCCACAATCTAGACCTTGCTTGGCAGGCAGCAGACCTCAGAGCAGGCAATGCTCCAGTGCCAGAATTCCAGTGAAGTAGAAAATATCCAAATTCTTTATTTTAACATCCTTGTACTGCAGTTTCCATCTCCATAAATGAGGGTTACTAATATCCTTCATCTGATGAGGACACTTATTCTGAACATCTCTAAAATTACATGGAAAGCTTGCATTTGACTGGACTGAACAGGAAATTTGAGAGGCACTGTGAGCACTACTAATATCCAGAACAAAGTTTATTTAGATATGTGTCTGGATGGGTTTTTTAAGAGATTTTATACACCTAAGTAGGATGATTTTCTTTTTTTTTTTTTTTTTCCAATAGAGAAGAGTGAATCCTTTGGTGGGGGCTAACAAATATTAACACAATACATGCTCAGATTCAGAGAATCCAGGCAGGATGTCAGACTAAAGGCCAAAAAGATCTGTAAGGAGGTCAAAATACAGTCTATTTTCCTTTCTTTAAAAATCAGTATTAGCTCTCTTCAGTTACCATTCAAGTGAACTACTATTACAAGTTAAATTACTGGAGTTATCACAGTAGGATTTGTCTGGAGGAGATGTTGCAGGAGCACTGTGGTTAATTTCTGTTTTCTGATGTGGTTTCAACCAAAAGTCAGAGCTCTGAGAGAAGAAACAGATGAGGGCTTTATCAGTGAAAAAGTGACATTGGCAACTGCTGCTGAGAGATATTCCATATTGCTTTGAAATTATTTAGGCAGTCTGATTGATGGCTTTATGGTTAAGTAACTCTTTGTATTATAATTATCTCTGTTTTTCAGAAACACTTGACTCAGCATTTGACATTAAAGGCTCAAGATTTGAATTTCCAAAGGTACTTTTCAATGTTTTATATAATAGTAAAATCACATACTTACAGGTATATTTTGTTCTGAAGAGAGATGTTCACCCAAACTGTAGAAAACAGAAGAGGAAATGTCAGAAAACTTTCTTATAATAGAATTGATGACAATAAAATGATAGCATCTCTGAAATGCTAGATGTTCTAGGGTTATTATTCCTCTACCTTTCTTCCTTTATTTTATAAAAGAAAAGACCAAAGTAATCGATTAATGTCACCTTAATTATTCTATTTTGTTTGGTAAATTATTCTCTTTCCTTTTACCTGTTCGAGTAAATCCATTCATATTCCTTCTGCCCATTTCATTCTTTATTTTACATTCTCTTCACATGCTGCTCTTTTACTCCATGAAACCATTTTCAAAGATTTGAAATGGGATAACAGTATCCAAAAAGTAAAAGCAACGCTCTACTGTTAAACTAGGGGCAGCACCAGTCCTCAGGTTAAGCCATTCTCATCCAACAACTGCCTCATCAGTTGTCTGAGCTTTTCCAAGACCCTTATGAAGACTATTAATTCCTAAAAATGTCACTAAGGAGCTCCTACTGGTCCAAAATCTCCACCATCCCACTTAGCTTATGGGCATCCACAATGCAACAGCTCTTGTAGCCCCAGAGCTTGTAACAGACAGGAGCATCCTCTGCCATGAGCTGTCCTCCTCTCCATGAGGAACTCATGGTAGACCTGGCACCTCCTGGTGGGACTCTGCTAGACCAGGAAATGCTGTTCCTGAGTAGGCTGGCCATGAGAAGGAAGGTGAACACTTTTATTTTTATGCACTCATCTACCTGACTATACCTATGAGAACAGTCCCTGAAGGGAATGTGTCTTTTTCAGTTCTAACAGAAATCACCAGAACCATTCCAAGAAGCCACTTAGACAAGAGCAGGCAGTATTGTGGACTAATTTTCTTTTTTTTCTTCCTTGTTTTAGGGCAATTATAGTATTGTTGTGCAAGGATTCTCTGATGATTCTGAGAATAATATGCTCATATGCTTGAATTTCACCATGATAGTAAAATAAGATGCTTTCTGAGTGCAACAAACTTCTCAAATAATTCCAGAATATGGAGGTCACTTCTGTGAGCAACTGGAATCCAAGCTGTGAAGTAAATGCACACTGAACTTCCTGAGGCAGAATACATCCTGTGCTGTCTGGGAAGCTATAAGATATAGTCTTTCTCTTTTGTAGCATAGCCATAATCAGTTGCTCAGCCAATGTGGCCAAAATTTCTGGGAATCAGGCATCCTGATTAGTCCACGGAATTACCCTGACTGGGTGTCAGGCTGGTCCTGCATTTTGGTGCTGTGCCTTGAGTTACAATAAAGTTGAGTGCTTCAGACTGAGCTAAAGTAATCAAGAAGTTTTGAAGTTTTGAAGTGCCAGAATCAGAAGTTCATCAGTGTTCAATTTAAAATAACACAGCAATTGAATTTGGGAACCCTGTTGTGAGGTGGTGGGGGGTGGTTTTTTGGTTTGTTTGAGTTTTTTTCTTTTCTTGTAACAATAAAACTTGTTAGTACAATCAATTTAAGAGATGGTTGTTATTCTCCTGTTATTTTGTGATGTTTCTTCAGATGTTTCATATTGTTCTGCTCTGTTTACACCAAGCTGAAACAGAGGAGTAATAATTTGTTATGTGGTAGTAGCTGATGTGGATAAAATCCAAGGTGGAACACTTTTTTTTCCAGTTACACTGATACAGCACAGCTGAATTTAGCCATCCAGAGCTGCAGCTGCAATCCCTTAGAATGTTTTCAGCTCTTGCTCAGAGTCCAAGGGGCAGAGGCTACACAAACTGTGTCCTTCAGAAGTGGGAGGGTGGTGTCACACAGCAGGTTGATCTATTCCTCAGTTATTCCTCTAAGGTATTTCTAAAGTTTTCCTGTAGCTTTTACCCCTTGGGCAGCCAACACTAAGTACCCACATGCCCTCTGTTGCTCCTCTGTGCCCCAGACCTTCAGTCAGACTTTGGTGGAGTATGAGATTTGGTCCTTAGGAAAAGGGCTGTCCTTTTCCAGACAGCAGGGCTGGTGAACTTAGTGAGCTCAGAGACTTTTCCCCAACTAACAGGACACTGTTGAAGCTGCACATTGTGCTGGCTACTAGTTCATGCTGTCTAGCAGATTGCTTCCAAATGCCTGGAAAAAATTAAAAGCCAGAACAAACCAACCTCTTTCAGACTGTTAAATACCAAGCATGAAAATTAGAAGTGAAGCTTTTAATCTCACTTTATACAGAAAGAAAGATGTTTTTCAGACTTGGTATCAGAAAACTCAAGGAAAAACCCAAGTTTGTAGATATTCTATTTAAAACTTGGTTTTAATCATAGGTAGTTTGGCTAAATAAAGAAAAATGATTAAGAGTCAATAAAACCAGAATAGAACTGCATAATGACTGAAGATTAGAAGCCATGATTACATATAATTGATGGTGGCAGAGCATCTGTGCTTTCACTTTGTCCACAGACCATTCCAGGAGTAGTCCAAGGTGGAGTATTGCAGCATGTTCTGCTTATGTTTGAGCTGATTTACTACAGTTGTGATCAATTTATTCCTAACCTGAAATACCAATCAAAAAGTAGCCTGAGAGCAAGACAAGTGATACTTACCTTTCTTCTTCTGTTTTGCTTATTTCAAATCGTGTCTGTTTCAAATTATTGACCTAAGGAACAGTCTTACCTTATTATGTCCCTGTGTATGCATTTCATGGCATCCAGCAACCACAGGTCTCAAAATCATCTTCAGTGACAAGATTTCTTGAGGATTTTTTTGGCCTGAATTATTTGGGGTGTTAGAAGAAATATTTTGTTTATTAAGCAGCAAGTAACACAAGAGAGATTAACACTTCTGGAGATCAAATGTGCACATTCATGTGCTCTATTTTACATAAGCATGTTTTAATGCATTATGGATATTACAGAAAATTTGCAGTACATGTAAAGGTATAAATAGAAATTCTGTCTCTGAATAGAGACATTTACAGATAAACATATGCACTCAGTGTCTTGCCTTGCAGACTTTTTCAATATAGATCTTCAGCTGAAGGGTTATAATTGTACATGCCAGCAGATAGGACAGCAAGGCAGAGGGCAGGAGCCACACTTTATAAAGCAAAGACTTTTCAAAGACCTCAAGTTTTCTCCTTCTGTGACTGGAAATGTCCACTTATTCCAGTTCTGGTGAGTTCCACACCACATTCTCCCCTGGACAAGAGGATACAGATTTTGTAAAGTGTCAGATCATGCAAACAGCCTACCCTGAAATTGCTGTGATACTGTAGGGTGAAGGGCTGAGCTGAAGGCAAAGCTTTGCTCTTTATGTCTGGTTCCTGGGACAGAGTTCTTAAAAAGATTTCTTTCCTTCTGCTGCTGTCCAGAGCTGACAACAGTTATCACAGATTTCCTTTCCAAACTTCCCTGAGCCCATATTCAGGGCTCCACAGCAAAGAGCAGTTTCCTTAGGATGAAGTGAGCTACTTGGGCTCTATGAAGATTAATCTGAATGTTTCCCCTTTCTTCACTTTATTGGTCCAGTAAACTTCAATCCATTTTTTGCTTCTTCATTTTCTGCCTCTGTCTAGAGTTGGAATGGTGTGAAATAAAACGCCAACTAAGATTTTCTTTCTTAAAATATTCTATGAGAGCTACATGCCCTGAGATCCTTGTATTTTGCCAGGAGTTCCAGTGAAATGTGCAAAGCCTCCTCCTGTGCAAACAAAAGTAAATCAAGGAAGGTTTTGTGTTTGGCATATTTATGTGAAATTAATATCTAGAGCCTTCACAAATACCTCTTTTTCTCTCCCTCATTACTGTTGTTTTCAAGAGGCTGACAGGATTTTCTGCAGATGGGAAAAGAGCTTTTCTTCACCCCCTCACCCTCTGTTGCCAAATATGTAATTATGAGAAGAAGCAGTTCCTGTACAATGTGGTTTCCAAAAAGACTGCACATTTTGAGATGTGTTATTACAGTTTTATTTGATAAAAGCCATAAAGTATTCATAATTTCAAGTGAGTGAAAGCCTGCTGACCACAATAACATATACATTTGCTGGCTGAATTTGTAACATCATTTGAGATAGATGCACAAAGATAATTCAATGTAATTCAGGTATCAGCAGCATCTCTTGTGTCCAGGGAAGCAATTCCCTTGGTCACCACTTAGCTTGGATGACACAAAGCACAGAGACTCAGAACAAATAAACTACATGGTCCCTGCAGCAAGAAGGAGTTGGATTTAACGATGCAGGAGATGTGTCTTGATCTGTCTTACAGGCATCAAAGGAGAACCATAGCAGCATAAATCCCTTCTGCACAACATTTTTTCCTTGGTGGAAAGTGCTAGCAATTGCCTTGGAAGGGTCTGTGCAGCACATTTTGCTGAATGACTTCAGCTCCTTCGTTCTGCCCACGAATCCCTGCCAGCACAAGTGAGTTCAGGGCAGCAGATGGGGTAGTGACATTTCTAATGGGCAGAGAGAGGAAGGAGGGAGGGAAGGGAGGGGGTTCCTGCCTGCAGGGCTTAGGGGAGAGAGAACAGGAGAAATGAAATTTGGAAAGTCTTCTTGCTGTCAATAGAAATTACTGGACTTTGGAAATCTTGGATAATAGGCACTGTGCACATGTACTTGTGTTGTGGATCCCAGGCACTCCTGCAGATCCCTTGGCTGCAGTAGATGGGTATGTCCATAACCTCTTTTCTTTAAGATACATTTTACTACTGGCAAAAAGAGAAATATATATATATAAAATACATGATTTAATATAGATGCGCATATATATATATATATATATATATATATATATATATATATATATGCATGTATTTGGCCAGGTATAACAACTTCCCAAAGATTCTATATGAGAAAAAACAAACAAAAAAAACCCCACAACATATTTTTTCCTTGAGCTTTAGCTTAAATGGCTGTCTTAGCTATGAGTATTGTGTTTTTAAATTCAAAGTTCTTGCTAAAATAATTTTTGCTGACAAACTAAAAGCAAAACTTTTAATAGTGAGACTGGCTGTTTGCTCACAGGAGGGAATAGTCACTGTACTAAGTATTTCTGTACTAAGATTTCTGCCTGCCCATTTCCCTGTGCTGCACAAAACCTTTGAGAACTGCAGAGTAGATTGTATTTTTTTCTTAACTTGTAACCTCTGCCAACTGCACAAATCCACTAAGTGTTTGGTTCTCTGAGAAGTTTGGCATCTCTGCTGAAGTACCTCCATGGTGATTATGAGGTTGGTTTAGTTCTTAAATACATTTTGTTCAGTCACATTCCATTTAGACTTTTCACTGTATTACCCACAATTTTTATGTTTTTAACATACCAGTGCAGTTTTACAATTTCAGTAATATAAATTAAAAAAAAACCACCAAAAACTCAAAAGAAATGTCATACAATAAATAAACACAAAAGACAAAATAATAGCTTTAGTCCTCTGAAAGCAATAGAGTTGAAATATCAGTCCTTCACTTACAAGGTGCCCAAAGGAGGAAATAATAAAAAACATCATGCATATGAGAGTGAACAATTGTTCACTATGACTGTGAATTAATTTGACCCTGGTTTAGGATGACATGACTTCTTTTCACATCTGAATATCAGCTGAACAGACTGGTAGTTATCTTTTCTAATAATGTATCACACTGAAGTGGTGTGCTCCATGTCATATTGCATGTAGTGGAATTTCCCCAGTATCTTTAAAGCATTAAAGATACTTTTATGACACAGATGTAATGTAGACAGAACAATGAACATCATTGATGAAAGTTTCACAGATGGCTGTCAGAAAACACACTTGTCAGCAGGAGTATTCCTTTCTGATTCCCCAAGCTACATTCCGGTGATTCTGACTGCTAATTGTACAGTTTCTCTAACCTGTGAAAGTTTTTGTGATTTTGATAGTCTAATTAAGGAGGAAAAGAGATCCTAAAAAAAAAAGACCAAATAATTTAAAAAAAGGAGGTTTCAATTCCTTTAAATCTGAGGCACCTCAGCAAATAAGAAATATTTTTCTGTTTTTGTTTTTTGACAAATAGTTATTATTCAAGCAAAGATTATTGTGCCACAAAATCACTGTGGTTTTGCTGATAAGCCAGGATTTGAGCTGTGATGGTTGTACTCATGTTAGTACCTACTTGACAGCCTGACTTGTCCTTTTGGGCACAGATGTACACCCCACTTCTAAATGACTTTTTATGCCTCTTTCTGGAATTGATGGCAACATTAAAATTTTGCAAAGAGTACAACAGGAAGTAAGTTGTCAAGGGGAGCAGATCAAACCATGTATTTCAACTTTGTAAATTATAATTTTCTTTTAGTACTTCTGGTTTTATAAAAAGTAAATGCTCCAGAAAATAGAACAACTAGACAGACTGATATGCCTCCTCCATAGGCTCCTTTAGGAGTATATGGATAGAGTAACCAAAATTTGGACTAAAATAAAATAGTTCATTTGGAAGGGACCTCAGTGATCACCTCATCCAACTATCTGACCACTTAAGTGTGGATCCAAAGCTAAAGCATATTTT